TCTCCTTGTCTTTGTATAAAGCGGCATTTGTCTTCTCAGCTCTTTATAAAGAGACATCTGTCTCCTCGTTCTGTTATAAAGACACGCTTGTCTTGTCTTTTTATAGAGACATCTGTCTCCTCGTTCTGTTCTAAAGACACGCTTGTCTTGTCTTTTTATAGAGAGACACTTGTCTCCTTGTCTTTGTATAAAGAGGCATTTATTTTTTTATAAAGAGACAGTTGTCTCCTTGTCTTCTAATAGGGAGACATTTTTTTGCTCACAGTATTGTGTGTTTGTCTTCTGAAGAGACAGTTATGTCTTTGTCTTGTTAAGAGACATCTGTCTCTTGTCTCCGTGTTTATTAGACGCATTTCAGTTGTCTCTTTGCTGCTTAAATGAAGAGACACTTACTCCTACTGGTGTTGGTGTCGTATCTTTCAGTGCTGTTGTGCTGCTGCTACCGCTGCTGCTGCTGCTGCTGCTGCTCCTGCTACCGCTGCTGCTGCTGCTGCAGCTGCTGCTACCGCTACTGCTACTACCGCTGCTGCTGTTACCGCTGCTGCTGCTACCGCTGCAGTTGCTACCGCTGCTGTTGCTACCACTACTGCTGCTACTGCTGTTGCTGCTGCTGCTGTTGCTGCTGCTGCTGTTGCAGTTGTTTTGTTGTTGTGTCTTTCTTGTGAGGAGACACTTGTGTCTTTGTCTGCGCGTAATATTTGTTTAAGTAAGAAAGAGATATTCTTCGCGTTTGTTTGTCTCCATAGAGAGCTTCAGTTGTGTATTGCATTTGAAATAAAGAGACAGTTATTGCAGCATTATATAAATAAAGCCTTCAGGTGTATGCAGCAGAAGAGACAACTAAAAGTATAGAAAGCGAACAATTAATAACAGCATAAACAGCACCACCAAAGCCAGCGGTGCATACTGCTGCAGCATTGCTCGGAAGCTAAGAGACTTCGCTAGCCCTTTAAACTGCAAGCAAAAGGAGACAAGGAGACACTTAAAAGAAGCAAATAGAGACAGCAGAGACACCTCAACACCCAAAGAGTTGTTTATCCTTCTCTGTGTCTAAACAGAGACAAAAATTAACAAAGAGACATACAAGACAGAGACAAAAGAGATAAAAAAGATAAATGCATATTCATACCCGACACCCACATACAAACATAAAAGGAGACAGAAAAAACTAAGAGAGACAATTAAAAAGGAGACAAACTGCAACTAAACAAAACAAATAAACGATAGAGACACACAGAGACAGAAGGACAGCAGCCAGAGGTAACACCTTGGGTTTAGGGTTTAGGGTTTAGGGTTTAGGGTTTAGCTCTTGCCTTCTCGCTGGCGTATTTGAGGTCCGTTGCCTTCTTCCCCACGTCTGAAGAAACACAAAAACAAACAATAAA